GCTAGTAAACATGCAAACATATTGTAAAGGTTTGAAATTCGGGGTGTGTATACATATATCAACAGGAGTTATGAATTATGTATATTCTGAGCCTATATAAATTAGATTTTGAAGAACAAGCATCACAGTACTCAGGCAGGTCATAATAAGAGATTCCATGTGAAATGTAAAAACTACCTTGAATAAATTATCCATAAGTTAACACTCTCATTATAATGACATATTTATTATTTCTGGGTTTGTGATGTTCCTTTAATGCACTCTGACTGACTGTTGTAATGGCACTTCAAGAAACCATTTCAGACTCCCCCCCCCATGAAATTTAGCACAACTTTATTTACATTTGAACTAAAATAATTTAAAATAATGTAATGTTAAAAACAATCACCTACTTCCCAACGTAGAATACCATTTCCTTCTGCCCAGAAACATCTAATTAAAGCAGGATATAACTTTAGTAATTATTTTCACACAGAATGTCTCTAAAATTAATGTCGATTGTAAGACTAAAAATTGGGAGACTGACAATCAAAACAATCTTAAATGCTTTGTTTATGTGATGCAAAGGAGTGATCCTTTAATTCTTGCACACACATTAAACTGATTTCACAGACTTTCTGTGCTGGTGTTTAACATAGTCAAGTGCTTGAGGTTACACAGAATAAACAATCTTGAGATCTTATTGCAAATGTTTGCAATTTATGATGTAAACCGATTTGTGAAAAAATAACAGGATCCATGTCACTGAAGCCAAAAAGGCATTTTTCAGAAATCAAAATAGTTCCGAAATTTGAGCATTGCATTATACTAAAGTATTACCATCTGAAGATCTACAAAGTTTTAAGTCTGGGGAAAAACTCAAACTAGATATTTATCATTTCAGCTTCAAGCAAAGGCCTCCGATTTTACCGACCCTCTTGTATCCTAAATTCCTCAACACTAATGATATCTTGAATAATCTCTCTTAACTGAGTTTTCCCCAATCAGGGATTTTGTAGCCTGGGAAGGTTTTGCACACCTTGGTGTGAAAGATCTGGGGGGTGGCGGGGGAGGGAGTGGCAAAATGTTTATTATTTATTAGGATTATCGAATTTCTACCAAAACAACGTGCATGTTGGGCCTCATCTGAATTTAAAGCGAAGACTTCGGGCGCCTTCTCAAAGAGGCTCTGGAAACCCTGAGTTTGGAACTTCGCGTTCACACACCCAGGCGCCTGCCTGAGAGTTTGAGCCGCGGCGTGGGTGGAAAGCCGGCCCAGCTTGAGCGTGCGTGGGAGGCTGGGCCCGAGGGACGCGGCCCGGACTCGCCAGGAAAGGCAGCCTGGGCCCTGGCAGAGTCTTGGGAGGGCGAACACCCTTGACGCTTGGGTCCCGCAGGCCGCGCCCAAGCTCAAGTACCGCCGACCGGGCCAAGGAACTTTGGCCCTTCTCGCTGGCCTGGCCGCCTCCGCGAGCTCCTAGCCTTCCCCACTGCCGCCGGGCCGGGCCCCCGCGGGGCTCGGCGCCCAGCCCACCCCTCTCCTGCCGCCGGCAACGTTCGGGTCCGACCTAGGCCGCGCTGCCGCGCCCGCATCCTGGTGCCCCGGGCCTCGCCTGCCTGGGCCCAGACGCACCGCCCCCTTTGACCCCAGGCTCCCCCAGAGCTCGGCTGCGTGGACGGCCTGGGCTTCGCGTCCGCCGCGCGGCCGGCTTGACCCGGGACGGAGCCGCTAACCACCCCCGGCTCCAAGTTCTCCCGTGACCTCCGACCTCCCTTGGGGTGCCCGAAGAAATGTCCGAACCCGCGTTGGAGGCTGCAGTAGGGCTGGGGCTGGGAGCCTGCGTGTTCCGACCCCCGGCCCCTGGCGCGGACGGGAGCTCGCCGGAGGCCAGTGGGCGAGGGCGGGCGGCTAGGCGCGGCCGTTGCAAGTGCACCCCGCCCCTAGGCAGATGTTTATTATGAGAACTGAGGTCAGCCAGGAGAGCTGTCAACTTGTCAACTAGGAGACTTGCGAGGCCTGGAAGCGGAATACAGCCCAAGTGCTGGTCAGTGGTCTTTAAAAGCTACAAAGATAAATATAAAGTTATCACCCAAGGAACAGCTTTGAGTGCGAGCTCAGCCCGGGAGAAGGCCGAGTAGGGACGACGGGAGCACCACTGGAACTCGCGGGACTTTGTCCAAGGGGTGGGGGGTCTCCACTACGCGTCCTCCCGGCCAAAGGGGCCCCCAAGGGACCCTCGGGACACCCTCGATCTTCGCGGAGGATGCCCCCCATCCCAAGAGCCCGTGCTGGAAGGGATGGTCCTGTCCGCGGCCTGACCAGGCCCGCGTCTTCACAGTCTCTACGCTGAATAGGCAGCGCTTTCGGGTTTTACTAGTGAGCCTTCTTCCGGGAGGAGGGGGCTGGGAGAGGTAGGAGGGAGGGAGGGAGGGGATCCTGGGTATTCTAAGGACTCTGGGACCTGGCTTTTCCTGAACTGGGTCCTTGCTTCTACCTTTTCCTAAATTAAATCAACGAAAAATCTGCCTGGGCCAAAGCGCTAAACTGGAGAGGAGGTGGCCCTCCCTGGAGCCCCGTTCCCTTCACGGCTTTTACCCTACTCCCAAACCCTCATCACTTGCTTGGGGAGGGTCAGCGACCTGGGGTCGAGTGTCTGTTGTGCCACAGTTAACCCAGGTGGATTTCGCACCGCGTGATCCCGCTTCCCTTTCTCCCCAAAATGTTCCCCGAAAAACTACAAGGGTGAAATTAAACTACAAGGGTGAAATTAAATAGAAGAATGAGAGTTTGTCTTGGGGAGTCTATTCCATATTATTTTACATACTATCTGCTCCTTTATTGATTTGGTGTAAAATCAATTCTGTTTCTATTCTGGGTGGATATAAAAAAAGGGGGGGTGCGCTCAGCGCTTTCGAGAGTCACCATTCTCATCGCCTCTTAATAGCGGCACGTAGAAGCAGAGGCAAGCGCTTTTCTAAGTTGATGTGTTCGAGAGATAGATACGCATTAATCAAAAAAGGAAGAAGGAAAGACTATCCCGGATAGTTTAATAGTAACAGGAACAAAGATGACGCGAACCCCATCAAATGAAACAATACTATTTTCATTCAATTGATCGGCAAAGTGTCTTCAATTAATAACTTGGCACTTATTTAAAAGGTTTAACAGAGGTGAAACCGAAACATTTTGTACCAACAACACATCATGAAATAACAGCATCTTCTTTTGTTTAAAATAACTTAATACACTAGAAAAAATATGGCAAATATAAATAACTTTGTTTTCATGGAGAACAAATAGTTACAAAGCTCAACCGCATACCAAAGTTCAGTTAAAAGAGCTTTTCCTCTTTCTTGTAAATTAGAAAAAAACAAAAACACAACTAAGGAGGCTTTCTAGTGATTGGGATACAGATTGCTTAGTCCAGGGTATCCCAGTTTAAATAGCTACATGAATTGAAACAAACAAACAAAATTACTTGAATATACACCTTTGTGAGATAAAATGCAAATGTTGAAAGTCAACCATCAGTTCACACATTATAGCCAAAATAAACTTTGTTCGTGTGTATCAACATATTTTACACAAACCTACTGCTTGTATCTAGTTGGGTGTTATTTAAGGTGAGTGTGACAGGATAGAGAGGGGGGAAATAAAGCAAGGTTCTCAAACAGGACATCAGGAAATCAGCAGGAGGGAATACAAGAAAGGAGGGAGGGGGGACTAACACTGATTGAGCGCCTACTGTGTGCTAGGAGCCGTGGGAGGCGCTGTACCTTTTTTATTTCATTTGGTCTTCTTTTCATTTTCCTTTCCCCACATTTTCTGCCCGCCTCCGTCTTCTTGGGACAGAGTGTAAATTTTTTTCCCTTCCGACCTTTTTCTTTTGTCCGACAGGATCAAAGACGGGGCAAAAAATACAGATTTGAGATATATCAATTTCCAGATGCTTTTGGTATTGTTTTTCATACTGAAGATGAAAATGGAGTAAGTGCATGTGAGTAAAGCAGGGAGTGGGGAGACACCATCAATGGAATACAAGTAACATGCAAAACCGGAATTTACTGTCAGCAGTCTGGACAGTGCTGCCACAATAATTTCTCAGATAAATCATTGTCTGTGGTAACATTTTTTGTATCAATATCATCTTTTTCCCTCTCCTCGCTTTGTATACTGTCTTCCCTCTTCTTACTCTTCCATACGTGGTGGTTTTTAACTCAAAGCATCTGATTCAACGTAAAAGGAGGCCCGCCTCTCTTATCAAATTTCTTGTATTAAAGTGAACTTCGCAGAAAAAGGTCAGTTTCAAAACCTGTGAACTTCCCAGCTGCGCACTTTTTTTTAACCTTAGTTCTTTAAATAAGTATACCTCTTCCTTCTGTTTTGCCTTTTCAGCCCATTAAAAAAAAAAAACATCTTGTTGATTTCCATTCTCTTCCTCTTCTAGATTCGTCCGTTATTTTTTTCCATATTTTTTAAATGTATAAAATACTTTAATTTTTAAAATTTGTTTTTGTTCCTTGATTCTTTCTCCAATTTCAGCTTCTGCCAAATAGCAATAAGTTCCCCTTTTCTTTTTTTCCTTTTCTCCTGATCTTTTCATTTTTTTTTTTTTTTTTTTTTTTTTTTTTGCTCATTTTTTATTAACAGGATTTTCATTTCTACTCAAGAATCCATCGTTGCAGCTTTGCCTTGAGCCACACTCCGCTGTCCTAGCGTTCCCTTGTTCAGTCTCTCTCCAGACTTCCCGAAAACTTGCCCCTACGAAGCCGAATTCTATGCCCTTGGGTAAGTGAATGGTCAGGAGCAACGGAGCTGCTGCGCCTAGTGGGATCGAGGGTCCCGCGCGGAGTCTCGCCCTCCAAGTCCGGGTTGTGGAGGGGGGCAAAGGGCGATCCGCGGGGCGGGAAGAGGGTAGGTTCCGGAGATCCGTGGGGGATAAACGGAAAAGCAGCGAGGCGCGGAGGGTGTGCAGGGTGCACGCCGCGCTGAAGGCGCGACGTTGGCGCTGGCGTTGGCGTCACAGACCCAGGGCGGCAGCATGCTTTTTGGCTTTCAGTCTGAGATCGGCGATGCTGGAGTTCTTGCTGGTGGTCTTGGCGGCGGCGGCGGCAGCCACCACGGAGGCGGCGGAGGCTGAGTCAGCGGCCAGCGTGGCCAGCGGCAGTCCGAAGGGCGGCGCCGGGAACATCATGTAGGGCGCGTGCGCGGCCAGGTGCGGGTGCAGGTGGTGGTGCGCGTGCGCCACGGCGCTGTCCAGCTGCAGCTGCGCCTGAACCTGAAAGGACAAGGGCGTCACGTTGCAATGACTATCCTAGGGTGACAACAGAATAGAAACAGAGCATTAACGGCGTCCAGCTTGGCGAGGGGGAAGGCTGGGGCTAGGGACAGGAAAGGGGCGTTTGGCTGACCTCCTCAGTCTGTTACTGAATCTGGGATATTCCGGTGCGCCAGAGTCTCTGCAACTCGCTCAGCACCTTATCTCCCTGGGCCCTGGGGGACTCCTATCTGCAGGAATGTGGCCGCTCCTCTCAGGAGCTGGGCCCATCAGAGGGCAACCTTGCTATCGTGTTAATAGCCCTCCTCAAAATTAGAAAGGTAATTTGGAAAGGCTCTCTCGATGCCATCATACATCCCTTACCCCACTAAAGCACTAACAAGTAACCAAGTGCTAACAAGCAAACTGTAAAACTTTTCCTTGTTACTTAGGGAAATTAATTCATCTTCATAACAACTGGCACAATTGTTAGTACTTCCAACATTTACTGCTGTAACAATCAGCCTTGTTATAATGCAGATCTTGTTAAAATGCAGATTCTGATTCAGAAGGTCTGCGCTGGGACCTGAGATTCTGCCTTTCTAACTGCCTCCCTGGTGGTGCTGGTGCTGCAGGCCTGCAGATCACTTTATGAGTAGTAAGGGTCTCCTTTTAAGATCCCACTCTCTCTTTCTCCAATCATTCTCCTTGCTTCAAAAGCCTAGCATCAGGATGCTAGAGTCCTGTGGTGCCAAGAGAGCTAAGATCTCCCTAACACTAACCGTCAATACATGGGTAAGCCCAGGTGTCTCCCCAGTCTAGGGGAGACTGCCAGCTGAGAGCTAGGGTGCTACCAACTGAGAGCTAATTCACGACTTCACAGCCATACCAAGCAGGGGTCCTGGCTAAGGATGGGCAAGGTCAGGCACTGGTTGGGTAAGGCTTGCGCCCTTAGGCTTGAAGAGCAGGGGTGTTTAGAGCACTGGGATTTCCCAGGATTAAATCTTTGCTGCAGGCTGTCCTTTTAAAATGTAGTCTTAAAGGTTTCTTTATACCTAAGAAAGGGATTGCAGAGGCAGGGCATCCCTGGGAAGACTAAGGCTTCCCTCTCTACTAGAGATGAAGCTTTGTTTGCAGAGGCACCTTTAAAAAATCAAGTCTGAGTTGGAAGTACTTTTATTTATTTACTCTTCTTCTGCCAGACACATTTAATGTGACTAAGGGGTAAGAAATACCTAGAAAAATATTTAGAAAGTTGCCTTAGAAAACACCTGAGGACTTACCTCTGTATTGGATCTGACAAAATCTTAATCAAAAGGCTTTTCCTTTCTCTCCCCAAGTGCAATCTTTAGTGCATTTTTAAAGGACCGGTTGCTGGCCTCAGGCCCCTGCAGGTTTCCCATGAGGACAGAAAGGACTAGACACGTAGGCCCTTGACATTGTATAGGCTTTTTTTTTTTTTTTTAAAGGGGAGTGAATCCACTATATCATCTCAAAATTATTCTTCAACTGCATGGACACCAACATTGGGACTCAGAGAGAAGGTATATTCAACAATTCAAGCAAACATCCGGGTATTTTTACAGTTAAAAACAGGTTGAAAGCGGGCTATACTTGCCTGCTGAAATGGCATCCTTAAAGCACCTACGTTGACATAAGGTGCAACTCTACAAGCTTCAAACTGGCTGGCAGCCCCTATGAGAACACCTATTAAAAAAATGGGGAACAAAACACAATAATATGAGGTTAATATTTCCAGCACTGTTTTCCAGGGTTCCAAATGATACTAAGACAGAACTAATTCCTCTGGAACTGGACAGTTATCTTCCTACACTGCTGCCATAATTAAAATAAATGTAATTTACTCCCAAACTTTAGGACTTTCATTAACTGCCTTCAGAGCAGATTTTTAAATAAATACCATGATTTTATTTTAGAAGTTTCTTTCTGACTTTGTATAATGATATTACCCAATTCTCTTTTTACTGAGAATATGATTTTCTTTGAGAAGCATACCTTTATGGAGTTGATTTTCTTGTTTTCTGCATTTAGCTCTTCGATTCTGAAACCAAACCTACAAGTTGGAAAAACAAAATAAAGCCTAGATGTTACGAACTCCAACATTTTCTTTTAATTACCAGAGTACAATGACAAAAGAATAGTGTTTTAGGCAAGGATTGAGAGATACAGCAAGCAATATTTGAATTATAAAAAACACTCTCAATTTCCAAAGTCAAATAATGCAAGTAAACAGCAAAAATAGATTTCATAGACTTTTGCAAGATAAATTGTTTCTTGATAAATTACTATTAGTCCTGGTTTCATCTTTCTGCATTACAGAGTCCCCAAAGGCCTAAAACTCTCCCTGATACCTGATACCAAAGTGATAATGGGTTTAGATGTTTGCCCAGTAAGACCTGAGAAGAATGTGCTCATTAATAGCCTGTAATATTAATTAGCTTCATCTTCAAGAAAAACCAAACACCAAAGCAAATAGTGACTCTGGGTTTTTTTTTTTTTGTTGTTGTTTTTTTTTTTTTTTTTTTTTTTTTTTTGGTTGTGGGGGGAGGAAGATAAGAGTGGGGGAAGAGGTAATTAGTGTCATAAAAGCCTCACTACAAAGAAGTTTAGAATTTCTCTGTTCCTCTGTGCAGCAGAGTGTAACACAGTTGCAGCATAATTGTGCTATTATCATGATAATCTAATTTGCTTCTATAGAAAAAGCAGTTAGGGTAGCAGAGACGCATCCAGAAAATAACTCTAAAATTTAAATAAAAGTATGAAAAAATAAAGACCAGCAATAAAGTTCACTTCTTATGAGAAAAAAAAAAGAACAACATGCTGTGAAAAGGGGATGGGATATGAATCAAGTAACTCCTGGATACTGTCTTCTCCTAGATATCACCTTCTTAAACTTGCCAACTTTTAAAGGCAGTATGACAGATTTTTAAAAATTCATATAAACCTTGCTTTTACACTCCAGTCATACAGCATTATGTTCCAATAATACAGCATATTGACTGATTCACAAATTAAGGTTTGAAAAAAAAAACTATAAAAGAAAAATAGTGCTTCAGAGATTTTTCTTGTTTTTGAAAGCCGTGTCATAGTCAATGTAAATCTTCAAAAATTCCCCTGCCATTTAGTGTAATAGAAGGGTAGATTTCATGCCAGGGTGGCATCCTTTGTGTAACTCACATGCCCTGAGGCTTCTTGCCTCTTTTTTCCCCTAGAAGAGTTGGAACTGCGATACTAATGCTCATAACTGTAATAATTATCATCATGTCTTTAAGGGGTTGCTGAGTCTCTAGAGATTTCAGTACACACAGCAAAGCAGGAGAGGCTTAAAAAAGAAGAGCAGAGCCTTCTATTGACGGCTGTGATGACCAAGGCAGCCTATTATTACTTTTCCCCTTCAACGTGACTGCTCTGTTTTTGTCCTGATCCTATTACAAGATGCGGGGAAGCCCCATAAGAATTGCATAGTTTGCTGCAGATGGTGGTCTCTGCGCCCAGAGACCCTGGGAGTATCTGTTACAGTGATACTTTGTAACAGCTGCAGATGTTCAGGCCTAAAACTGCTCCATGTGTTCAAACAAATAATGACCATCATTTTCTTCTAGTTTATTATTTGAGCGGAAATACAATCTGAAACATTTAAATGTTTTCTCCATAAAACTAGAAGGATATGCATGCATGTATGTACATAATTTTCCACCTTGAATGCCCCCAAAGCCTATTGCCATTATATTCACCCCCACAAACGAGTAAAGAAAACCTGCTCCAACCCTAACTCCATCACGTTAAGGCACTTGTTGGGTGTTGGACTTTGGGAATGCCAATATTAAGATATGTGAATTGTTTTAAAATCAAGTTTCTGTAGGTTCAGGTTTGCTGTCAGGTTAAGTGAAGGAACAAAGAGTGACCAAAATGCATTTACTGCTTTACTGTTTTACACACAGTTTGAGATCGACTGCTAACGGCAAACTGTAAATTTCCGCACTTAACAGTTGCTAATTTTCTTTATAGTCTGTACATCTATAAACCTAATTGGCATATCCGCTTGGCAACCCTAGACCCCGGAGCAGACCCTCAAGGAAAACCAACTCAGGCGAACAAAATATTCGTTGTAACTTTTAAGGCATCCAGAAGATAAAACGCTTTCTGTGGGATTTTTTTTTTTAAGGTTTATAAAAGTAGGCCCATTAGGATTAAACCACATTAAAGGCATCGTGAGGCGAGGGGGGTGGGGGTGTGGTTTATAGAAACTCTGGGAGCAAGCCCAGCACAGCTTTCTTCTGCTGGGAACATATGTTGGGAGTGGGGGGGGGGG